CCCCAAAACCCCAAAACCCCAAAACCCCAAAACCCCAAATGGAGGAAGAGAGGTTGAAAGAGGGGTTTTAAGGATGGAGGGAGTGGAGGGTATTAAGGTGTGTTTTTAGAGTTTTTATAGTAAGTTAGATAGATGGGTCGTGTGTTAAGGAAAGAAGTGTTGGAGATTAGTCATGGAAAATGGGGTGTGGTATTTGTAATTTATCTTTGAAAGTCGTGTCTTATTTGTTTTAGATCTCCAAGAAAATTTTCACTTAGCGATTCATAAGATATGCTACTTAAGATTCTGAACAAATTCTTTCAGAAGCCAGCATTTCCATCAACTGTCTCTTTGTATACGAGAAGTTGGTTGTTGCTGCTCTTCCATGAAGAAGAATGGCTCAGTAATCATAATACCTTGCAGTTATTTCTTCATTCTTTGTTCCTCAGATGTAGGTCTTCTTGCCATTTGCCACAATATAGGCGTTATACATCCCTTTCTTATGACAGACTCCGATGTACTTTGATCTCATATTTAGACCTTCAGTCCGGGCAGTTTGGCATTTCGCAGAAGCCTTAATGATAACCTCTTCTGGATTAGATATGTTTTCTATTTCTTGAAAGATCTTAGAACCTAAATTTATTGATAATTTTAAGAAATAGAAAGCTTATGAAAATGGACAACTTGGAATGTTTGTTAAACTCAGTCATAAAGAAAAACTAATCAAGAATATTCACCTGATCCGAGGGAAGAAAGTCTTTGGAGAACTCTATTCCTTCTGTTCTGTTTCCTCGGCAAATCAGTAAGTCTGACCTTCTTGAGTTGTGTTTCTGAGTTCGAGAATTCAGCATTTGCTTCTTTATAGCTTCTAATTCGCTTTGTTCTTGGTAAGCAAGGCTCTTGTTTCTTTTTCGTAGCATTTGTATTTATCTGAGTCTTTGTTAAAGACCTTCCAGGACTTAGCAGACTTCATTGACAATAAGCACTGATATCAGGAATCTGTTGAAGCTTCTGAATAATAGGAAACATCTGAGGTGTGATAATAGGAATAAAGGTTCAGTTCATCGACATATCAGCAGGACAAAGCATGATTGTATTTGCTTCAGATAAATTCATTTATTATTTTGATTAATTTTTATTAAAAACTGTAAAATTTATAGTTTTTCCATACAGATATCCAAATTTTTACACACATTTGTAATGAAATCAAAATGAGAATTTTATATCGAAATCATTGAGAAGAACCAAAATTAAAAATAATTATCAATCAAGAAGGTTTGCTGAAATCAGCCATTTCTAATCAAGCCAGATTCACTTAATAATTTATTCTCTTTCTTATAATTAAACAGGATAAGTATTAGAAAGCTAAAATTTTGCAAGATATTTCCATCTCTTGGTAAACGATCAAAAATTACAGCTTATCAACTAAAGCCGACAAGGAAGAATCTTCATTAAAATTATACTAAAATATCTATTGGACAACTTGTGCAACACTCAGTTGTTGAAGACTGAAGGTAATTCTCATCAATCATCCTAAGAAGAGCAATGAAACTAATTTTAATTTAACAGGAACATCCTAAAATGAGAAGGTTGAGAGAGCAAACTTCTTTGGGGATCTTAGCTCCTGTGTATGTTTGGACTTAAGACTCAAGAAAGGAGAGCTATCCCACGATTTTCTGCAGAAGAGAGCATTTCCATGGCTTCTTTATCTTTTCAGATGGAGAGGATATACATTTGGATAGTTTAGAATTTATTAAATTCTTTTCCAAATTATTATTCTTGAGTAAAAACTATTACAACTTTGGCATATTTCTGCATCTTTATAAGTTTACAAAACAAGCCAATTGTCGATAACATTCCCATTAATTCATCTTTATAAGCACATGCAGCAGGCAGTTTATAATAAAGACATAAACGCGATATTTTAGAGGACTGGGAAGTCAACTTTTTGTATTTAATACTTCTATTTTCTCTCATTCTAAAATTTAATAGAGATCTTTAAATATATTAGTGCATAAGTTTATCAAGATCTTTGGAGGCAACCTCCCAAGACTCTTGAAAAAAGTGTTAAAGCTAAGTAGTGACATCTAGCAACTGTTCAATGCTTTAGTGATACTTTTGACATAAAAAGCATCATTCATAAATTACCATAAAAATAACGGTAACTTGGCATGTTCAATGTAAACTTCAATTCTTCTTTAAGCTCCTCATGAAGAGCAGAATTATTGAGAAGAATTTCTAAAGGGTTTAAGCAAATGATAGGAGTAATAATGATAATATTTGCTCAGCCTAACTGCATAACATGTCTTCTACATTCCCTGAATTGTTTGCAAGGGAAGATTCCAAAGAGAGTAATCATAATAAGACTCTTCTTGAGTTCTCTTTCAGCTATAGGGACTCTCTACATCTTCAGATGGTTATAATGTTTATAAAAAATCTAAATATCTTGAAGAAAGTGAGCATGTTCTATTTGGTCAGAGCTGCTCAGCTTTCAAAGTGTTTACATATCCAACCAAGGATGAGTAAAAACTATGTTTGTGAAGACCTTCAAAAATTAGGAGTATTAAGTATTCATGAAGATGTGAGAATTAATATCCTATCATTTTTATTGATAAAATATCAAAATGATATCTTCAACAGTTTTGATGAAACATCCATGAAAATTTATAAGGACATGCATTAATTCAAGATTCATTTTAAGGGAATCCTAACCAAAACTATAGTGAAGCTTCAACAACAGGCAACAATCTTATGATCAAAGGACTATTGACTCTGTTCTTCCATACTCAATTCGAAGTTTAAGCTATTTATAATTAACAGAGAGCTTATAGCCATTGGCAAGGAATTACCCCATTGTTGATAATATATTAATTCAACCATTAATGCGCTCTATGGGGTTTTGGGGTTTTGGGGTTTTGGGG